ATGCAAGACAATGCTAGACCTCATGTGGCTGGAGTGTGTCAGCAGTTCCTGCAAGAGGAAGGCATTGATGCTATGGACTGGCCCGCCCGTACCCCAGACCTGAATCCAATCGAGCACATCTGGGACATCATGTCTCGCTCCATCCACCAACGCCACATTGCACCACAGACTGTTCAGGAGTTGGCGGATGCTTTAGTCCAGGTCTGGGAGGAGATACCTAAGGAGACCATCCGCCACCTCATCAGGAGCATGCCCAGGCGTTGTAGGGAGGTCATACAGGCACGTGGAGGCCACACACACTACTGAGCCTCATTGACTTGTTTTAAGGACATTACATCAAAGTTGGATCAGCCTGTAGTGTGGTCCACTTTAATATTGAGGGTGACTCCAAATCCAGACCTCCATGGGTTGATCAATTTGATTTCCATTGATAATTTTTGTGTGATTTTGTTGTCAGCACATTCAACTATGTAAAGAAAAAAGTATTTAATAAGATTTCATTCATTCAGATCTAGGATGTGTTATTTTAGTGTTCCCTTTATTTTTTTGAGCAGTGTATTTTACAGGTTCCCCGCAATCATACAACACCAACGAGATAAGACTCAAGAACTGTCAGAAAAGCTTAGAAACCTTTTTTCCCGTCAAGACCTGAACCCACTGGTTTTCTGATCGATTTTGAGTTTAGCTTAGCTGTTATGCTAACCAGGTGTTAACAACAAGACTAAGTTAGCCCACATTAGTTAGCTAGATAGCTTGTAGTCTAACTATTAGCAAGTCTCTTACGTAGGCGGCACGCGAGTTTCATGTTTTGGGGAAGCAATTTTTTCACCATAAAATGCACCTTTATAACAAAGGATTGCATGCATCCATCATTGCATTTGCAGACTAATGTAAGCCTACTATTCCTAAATGTGATGAGTAGATTGGATAGTGATAATTTAGGCTATTAAGAAGCGTGTAGTGGCTATAGGCTATTTCAGAGACTTTCCTTTCCTTTACACGGGAAAAATGTGGCCTTTGATAAACATTTCACGAAATTCTACTACACTTTATATGACTGGAGACATTAGCAGAATCATTTTAATATGACGGTAGCCTAGGCCTACTCTGCTTACACTGATAACAGATCAATAAAAACAACCTTGTCTTGAACGCAACCATGTAATCTCGGCCTATGAAAAGGGGTCATGGCTAGAAGGGATCCAGTTGTCAAATTAACTTCAAAAGTTCCTAACCTTAACCTAAAATTCTCCTAACCTGCTACAAAAAGTCAGATCTGACGTTAATTTCACCAAAGCTGGATCCCTTCTAGCCATAACCATGAAAAGGGGAGACACAAATTGTACAATATGACATCCATTTAGCCTGAAAACTCCAGTGGCACTGACCCAATGATAATTTGTTGAACTTTATTCATAAGAGGGAAAATGTCTGGACATTAGAGCATAGGACAAAGGCCTCAATGGGATAGGACAACCTGATGTGTTGACTATTGGTTGTTCCAGACCAACAATAGATTTCATCTTTATATGATACTAAAACACCTGAATGAATTAAACACAACCCAACACTTAAGAGCCCTGATGGTAAAGGTGACCTGAAGTGATATTCTAACATCAGGTGTGCTTCTAATTTGTTTGTGTACTGTAGGTTCACCAGCTGACCTCTATCAAGTCACCCATGTCGATTGGACTCCACTGTCAAGATGAGCAATGCTGCAGCAGCATCAGTTTCTCCTTCACTACATTGTCCTTTTCCAGATATGAAAGGAGACATCCCTCAGTAATACAAGATGGTTGTCATATGCTGTGCTTTGGTCAATCTGAATGATTCTGTTGTGACACTTGAGTAAAGAGCACCTTCACCTTGTCATGACAAAAGTGCCCCATTAAACCGTATGTATTTGGAACATGTAAAATACTATTATTTATGATATTGTAACCATACCGTACCTCAATAATATGCTTTATTGTTGTATTGGTGAAATGAAAAGTATTTTGTGTCGTCATCTCTGCTTTGCCCCATTGAATACAATGTACTTATTATAACTAACTATTCTTTCTTTTACAATTTAAACACATTTAGCATAGACAATGTAATTGTTGTGGTAGTCTTAGGCAAACCATCTTCATTATCACAGTGGCACCTCCAAGTGCCACTCAGACCTTCTGGGAGAAAGGTATCTGGCATTGAACTTGGTAGTAGTAGTTGTATGTTTTAAGCTAAGGATCCCATCATCTCCTGCTTCCAGACATTTCACCACCTAGGGTTGAATTTGCACTAAACAATTTCATGTCAGCACAAGGCATGTACAAAATCTAGTATAATGATTAGTCTCAAATACATCGTCTACTGGTATCGTTTTAAAATTGAGAACATATAGCTCAACAATATGTAAATAATGTGGGAGTTAAGCTATTCTCTTCTTCAGATGCAAAATGTCAAGGGGTGCATTGCAAATACCCATAAGACAAATGCCATCATACTGTAGGCCTATGGTTCCCAACCCAAGAGTACCCCCAACAGTACACATATTTATTATAGCCCCAGACAAGCAGACCTGATTCAACTTGTCAACTAATCATCAGGCCCTCTGAGTTGAATCAGGTTTGTTTGTCCGGGCTACAACAAAAATGTGTGTTGTTGGGGGTACTCAACGACTGGAGTTGGGAACCACTGCTGTAGGCCTATGGCTGCATTGGTTTTGCCTGCCATTATCAGCTGCAAAATGGGTTCACATGGCTGATATTCTGAAAAAAATAGTGAAAATCAAATAAAACTAATTGGAGAGCTTACAATTGAACAATAAAGTAGTGTTCAGTTCAGAATACAACAGAGAAACACAGACACATTAGAGAGATTCCCTTCCCCTCTATTGCAGGATTGGGATCTATCAACATTGACACTAGTTCATCTTTAATAGTTTTAAGTTAACAATTAAAACAAGTTTAAAACACTTCACTTCAAAATAATCAACACTATTTAATATAATTTCATAGTGTACAAGTAAGCTAACTCATTTGTAAAAGGTTAGACATCTTAGTAACAAGTAGGCTATTATTACTAAAGCATAATTTCAGGTGAACAAAAAAAAGTCCATACCAGAGGTTGCCAACCTTGCTCCACTGATCCCTGATAGCACACTAATCCCAGCAATAGCACACTTAATTATCAACTAATTAGGTTTGATAAATTGAATTCGGTGTGTTAGTGCTGGGCTGGAACAGAAGCCTGCACACTCAGCAGGGTTGGCCTGCTCTAGTTGTAATAGGTTTACACATTCTGTGTGACTTTTAAACTGTATTTTTGTTAACAAAATTTGCTAACATAGGTACACATATAATCCATGGTATGAAAAGTATGATGTACCCTTATTCTCTTGGGGCATTCATTGGGACCTCTATCTGCAGACAGGGTTTCACAGCTCTCTGTATCTGAGTACATAAAAGATCACAAAGAAACAGGCTGCATTATACTCAAATTAGACAGCACTGAATATTATGTTGCTATATCTCTGTCCTCAGTTTCTCGTTGGGGACAGGAACTGGAGAATATTTTCATAATGTCCTCCCTCAAAGTTACCTGCCCTATCCAGAGAAGCCTACTCACCGTTCTCTGACAGCTGGAACTGCTAACTAATCCTTTCACCCTCTTCCATGGCTGTTTGCTAGCTATTGTGCCTTGAGAAAGTATTCATTCTTATTCCACATTTTATTGTGTTACAGCCTAAATTCTAAAATGGATGAAATTGATTTCTCACACACCTACACATAATACCCCATAATGACAGCGAAAACATGTTTTTAGCAATTTTAGCCAATTTATTTCAAATGAAATACAGAAATACCTAATTTACATAAGTATTCACACCCCTGAGTCAATTCTTTGCAGAAGCACCTTTGGCAGCGATTACAGCTGTGAGTCTTTCTGGGTAAGTTTCTAAGAGCTTTCCACACCTGGGTTGTGCAACATTTGCCCATTATTCTTTTAAAAATTATTTAAGCTCTGTCAAATTGGTTGTTGATCATTGCTACACATCCATTTTCAGGTCTTGCCATAGATTTAAGTAGATTTAAGGCAAAACTGTAACTCAGGGACATTCACTATCTTCTTGGTAAGCAACACCAGTGTTTCAGGTTATTGTCCTGCTGAAAGGTGAATTAATCTCCCAGTGTCTGGTGGAACGCAGACTGAACCAGGTTTTCCTCTAGGATTTTCCCTGTGCTTAGCTCCATTCCGTTTCTTTTTTATCCTGAAAAACTCTCAAGTCCTTAACGATTACAAACATACCCATAATGACGCAGCCACCACTATGCTTGAAAAAGTGAATTACTTTGCCACATTTTTTGCAGAATTACTTTAGTGCCTTGTTGCAAACAACATCCATGTTTTGTAATATTTGTATTCTGTACAGGCTTCCTTCTTTTCACTCTGTCAATTAGGTTAGTATTGTGGCGTTACTACAATGTTGATCCAGCCTTAGTTTTCCCCTATCACAGCCATTAAACTCTGTAACTGTTTTAAAGTCACCATTGGCCTCATGGTGAAATCTCTGAGCGGTTTCCTTCCTCTCCAGCAACTGAGTTAGGAAGGACGCCTGTATCTTTGTAGTGACTGGGTGTATTGATACACCATCAAAAGTGTAATTAACAACTTCACCATGCTCAAAGGGATATTCATGGTCTGCTTTTTTTACCCATCTACCAATAAGTGCCCTTCTTTGCAAGGCATTGGAAAACCTCCCTGGTCTTTGTGGTTGAATATGTGCTTGAAATTCACTGCTTGACTGAGGGACCTTACAAAGATATTCATATGTAAGTATTGACATGAGTCAGCAATTAGT